AATGGCTCAGCCATTCCTGGATGTCAGTCCCCTGACCACGATGCTATTGGCTATTCTTCTTCGAGTGCTGTCCCTATGGGTGCTCCACTTTAGGTGTTCCTGCGCTCATAGTCGGAGACTTTTGGTAGCAGTGCCCAGTTGGGTCGCACATGCGTGGTCCCTGCCTCGTGCGGCTGCAGGCAGTTAACCGAGGCTGTGTGACCAACCCCCACTCAGTTCATTCTCTACCGCCCTTGGCTACAAGTCAGAGCAATCAGCAGCACCTCGCTACTTTGTAGTTAATTAGTTACAGTCAGTTACTTAGTTTCCTCGTTATCAGCTACTTAGCTTGTTTCCCTTTTATTTTCTCCTTGCTTTAAAAAAAACAAAACCTCATGGCCAGGAACTTCAGAAACAGCTGTTTGAGGGCGAAAGCCGAAGCCCTCCAACAGGAATGCCCGGTTTCCCAGGCTTTCAGTGCCTTGCCTCCAGGGCTCGCAGACCTGACAGCCACGGGTCGGTGTGTTTGCTGCCTGGGCGAAGCAGGTATCCACAAAGTTTTGCATTGCCTCAGGCTCCCGGCCAGAACAGCACAGAGTGGAGAGGTCTCTCGGACCTCGGGGCATGAGGCTCGGGACACCCCCCTTCGCCAACTGCGGCTTCAGACAGGAGTCCTTTCTCCAACCCCACATCGGAGTTCCCCACTGCAGGAATAAAAAACAAAACAAAACAGAGCCGTCCCATGGATAATAATAGCACCATCTGTGCTGTCGGCGCCGGGAGCTCGGGTGGCTGAGAGTTCTGGCACCTCTGCAGACAGACTGCAGGGGATGGCTCCGGTGCAGGCACTGAGGGGAGGTCAGAGCCCCGTGCCTCCATGCCACTGTCTACAGCTGCTCCACGGGCAGGCATCCAATGCCAGCACCGCCTGGGCTGTCAGCGTTGGGAGCTGAGGTGGTAGAAAACCCCAGCACCGCTAGAGCCAGAGACTCCACAAGAGCGGGCTCTGACGCAGGCACTAAGGGGAAATCAAAACCCTGTGCCTTCGCACTGCGATGTCTGTTCATTCCACAGGCAGGCTTCCAATACCAGCACCGGCTGCGCTGTCAGCACTGGGAGCGGAAAATCCTGGCATCGCTAGAGCCAGAGACTCCACAAGAGCCAGCTCTGACACAGGCAGTAAGGAGAAACCAAAACCTTGTGCCTCCGCACCACAATCTACAAACAGCACCGCAGCACCACTACAAAAGGCGGCTTCTTCAAAGGCGCGCCCGACACGCACAGAGGCACAGCCAGCAGTGCTGCCTTCTCCTCCGTAGCCCTGGCACCGACAAGGAGACAGCCACAGAGGCCAATCAAACCAGCACAGCAGCAGTTCCTCAGACAGAGGGTTCTGGTATTTGGCTCTGCCCTGATCCCCCATCCGCAGTATCAATACGAGAATGACACCCTCGGCACCAAGTCTCCCTGCATCCCAAACATCACTCACTGTCTCGCTCTTTATTTGAAGGAGGAAGATGAGAAGAACAGGGAGCTATTCCCCCACTGGCTCCTATCCATCAGGAGTCAGTCAACCCAGGAGTCTCTCCTGGGGCATATTATGCTGTCCCCGGGTACTTACAGTGGTATGGGGACCCCCTATGCTGCTCCCATCCCAGTGGGCATAGTGGACTCCATGGGTCATATGCCCCACACAAGGGGGGACTGCCCACCACGGCCAGACCCAGCACACAGTAATTCCCCCACAACTTCTGTACCAGCACCCTCAGTGGTACCAGGGGAAGAGGAGGAAGAACCCCAGCTCCTGCAGGGGACATCACCTACCCACTTGCCATCATTGTCCACAGAGGACACCTTTATGCCTCCTCCCCCTAATATAGGAGATGATTTCAAACTGTTCCATGGCTTATTTGAGAGGGTGGCCCACTCTGGACATCTCCCTTGAGGAGGTCCCCATGATACCGCATGGGCTAGTGGACTTTTTGCATACATCCACTTTGTTTAAAAAAAAAAATTGCCCTTCACATGAATGAGGCACTGATGGACCCCATAAGGGTCATTCCGTGGACCCCTGCGGCCACCCCTCCAGCTGGCAGGAGGTCAGACAGGAGGTGCGTACCAACAAAGGGCGCAGACTTCGCATCCAGTGCCTAATTTCTTAGTGATAGATGCAGTCCAGCTACGTGGCATGCAACAACAGCCCAGAAACACAACTCATGATAAGGACTGGAAAAGACTTGATCAGTTTTGGCAATAGGCTTACTCTTTGGCTACCCATCACCTCTGCATAGCCAGCTATGCGACATTACTAACAAAATACAACTATACAAACTACACAAAAATGTCCAAATTGATTAATTTTATTGCCACGGACAAGGGAGAACAATTCTCAGCACTTGATTCTGAGGTCAGGGCTGCAACATCTGTGTTAACGGTGATTGTAATGAGAAGAGTCTCATGGCTCTATCTTTCTGGCTTCCCCGAAGAGGTGCAATCCACGCTGGAAGACTTGCCAGCCCAAATTTATTCACCAAAAGACAGACGACTCGCTCCACTCACTCATGGACTCACAAGCAACTCTCCTATCCTTGGGAACCTATAACCCCAAACCCAAGAGGAAACAGAGGAATTACTTTACATCCCAACGATACCACCAGCCAATGTATTCACAATCACAGTGGTGATTTGTCTCACAAGGTCGCAGACACTGGCCGTAAGGGGACAACAATCTACTTCTCAAGTTGCTGCATCCCAACCATTAACCTCCAATAATTCAACAAATTCGTCAGAAACACAACGATTCAAGATGGTCACGCTATACACTATAAGCGGCTGCCTGCTAAAAACATCAACCCAGCACACAGCATTGCAAGCCACTGAACAGGTGGTCACCCTCTTCACAAATCTGGGTTTCCTAATAAATACTGACCAGCCCATTCTAACAGTGCAAGAGCTGGACTTCATTGGGGCCCACCTCAACCCTATCGAGGCCATAGCCTCACTACCAAGACAACCTTCTGTCACTCTCACCAGCCTCATATCACTGTGCAAAATAGCCCACAGGTATCTGCCAGGACTTTCCCCCAACTCCTTGTCCACATGGCAGCCACAACATTTGCTGTCAGACACACCAGATTAAACATCCATTGCCTACAAGGAAGGCTACATATCAGCTTTGTTCCACACAGGCACAGCATAAACAAGCACCCCACAATATCGGGCAAAATAAAGGACCCCCTTCTCTGGTGGGCAAAACTGACCAACATATGCATGGGGGCACCCTTCATTCAGACCACAAATGCCTCACTCCTGGGATGCGGCGCACACCTGCACCCACATTCTATGTAGGGCCACTGGTCCCCTGCGGAATCCCTTTGACATATAAACCTATTGGAACTTCAAGCTGTCCA